GCTGCGGCACCCCCAGCACGCCTGGCGTCTACACCAGCGTCCGTGCCTACCTCAACTGGATCCAGGCCGTCCGCAGGGTCGGTGCCGTCCGCAGCCCCCTCGGCTCTGCGCCGGGCCAGCTCCCTGGGGATGCCGCTGGCTTTTCGGCTGCTCTTCACAGCTTTCCTCTGTCTGTCTCCTTGCAGTCGGAGCTCTGAGACCTGCTGGGACTCCCTCCCCTCTCCCAAAACCTCCCTCCCCGTCCCTACGTGCTCCGGCAGCAGCTGGGAAATGGATCTCCAGCCCGGAAGGTGAGCGGTGCCTCCCGCTCCCTCGCTGCCAGGCTGGGATTTAACGCGACGGCCACCGACACCGTGAAGGAACCCGATCGGCTCCCGCTCCCTTCCCGAGAGAGGTTAATTTATTGCCCCGTACCCCTGCAGTGGCAGGAAGGCTCCTGTGGGGCTGAGCTGCTCTTTGCTCACTGCTGTTATACAGAGAGAAGCGGCGTTTGCGCTGTGGAGTATCCCTGTTGAAATAAAGTGAGTGTTTTTTCATGCAGCCTCTGAAGGCTTTGTCCCTCTCGCTCGCAGGGGTGGTTTTCGCAGTCCCCTGTGCTATGTACGTGCTGGAGCTGCTTTCCCAGCGCGAGGCAGGGTTTTGTTTGCTCATTTTTGTGAAGGCGCTGTTCCTGCCCTCAAAAAGCTGCGTGGACCTCAGCCACCCACTCAAGCACCCCAGTTTAAATTACTGTAAACAAACAGGGACATTAGGCATTCTTACAAATCAGCTTTTTCTAGTGTGTCCTCAGAAATCGGGGCCAGGCAGCTGCGCTCAAAGAGCCTTTAGCACTGGGAAACAGCCCAAAGCGCCCTGCAAACGCTGCCCCCACAAAGGCACCTCCCTGTGCCCAGGGGGTTCACAACAAGCCCCGACGGACACCCACAGCAACCCAGACGGGAGCGAGTTTCTCTAGTAAACATAAACTTTATTTCATTCAAGGCAAAGCTAACTAAACCCCTACAGTGCAAAAGAATGTGCTGTTCAATCACCACAGCGTGTTGCACACACCTGTGCTCGTTCACAGGCGCCTCCTGCGTGCACTCGTGTCGGCTCCAGCACGTCCGTGTCTGGCGCAGCACGCACCCCGCACGCCCCGCACAGCCTCTGCAGCCCCCAGAGCCACAGGCCCCCACGGGAGCGGGCACGAGCCCCCCCGGAGCCCCCCGCACACAGGGGCATACGGAGCTGCATTTCCCAACAGTTGGTTATGCTGACTGTTTTCCGTCAAGCCGGAGGAGTGATCCATGCATAGCACAGCATTGCATATCCTGTGGTAAGTGGAGCGCTGCCCAGATACCGTCTGGAAAAGGCCAACAGGTTCGGACAGCTAAAAATAGTTCTTTAAAAAGAAATCCCTTCCTGCCCTCTCTGTCCTCTCCCACGGGAGGGCTCCTCCAAGGACGGGCTGGGGGCAGCTGGGAGGCCTCGCGCCTTCCTGCCCAGACTTTCACACGTGGCAGTGTCCTGTTAACAACGTTTGGCATTCGCAGCGCGCCTTTCTCCCCAGAGCACTTGGCAGGGTGACGCAGGGAGCCTCACACCTCCTGCGAGGTAGCTCGGATTCACCGTCCCCATCTTACGGATGGGGAAATCGAGCACAGAGAAGTCAAGTGCTCTGCCTGAGGATCCCGTGGATCCACCCGGGCTGGGTGCCTGTAACCGTCTCCTGTCCCAAACGCACGGCCCTGCTCTGGCAGGCACCCACAGATGAAGTGTGTGACAGACACCCCCAAACAAAGGGGAAACAGGGAACAAATCACATCGTAAAGGACATCGTCAACCTCAGTTGAGGGATCAGCTCGTTCTCCTCAGGTCTCGTATCCCTTGGGAAAGGGCCAGTTTGCCTGGCGCCCCTCGCACAGACCCTCTGGCTCTCTGCGGCACCCCTCATCCGAGGATCTCAAAGCCCTCTACACACGTTAGCCAAGGACGCCTCACAACAACCCCTGTGAGGTAGAGCAGTGTTATTGCCCCCATTTTACAGATGGGGAAACTGAGGCGTGGAGAGGCAGAGCGACTTGCCCCAGGTCACCTCGCCAGGTCTCAACTGTGCTCCCTGCTCCCTGCATCATGGATGGAGTGCCACAGCTTTCCTCGGGTGAGAGGGAAACGCAAGCAGCCGTTTCCCCACTGGACTCTGATATACAAAACATCCACACAGCGAGTTAAGCCACCCACAACTGGCTGGGGAGAAGCCCCCCAGTGCCCCCAGGAGACAGCCCTGCACAGTGTGAAATGCCCCAGCTCAGCATCGCCTGTCAGAGAAGACGCCCCCAGCTCCTCACGGCCTCTACCCCCAGGCACACCAGGGCCCCCGGCTGCAGCCCAGGGTGCCCCCCAGCACCCACCCCTGCCCGCCCGGCCCCCTCTTGCCTTCGCTAGGGAGCAGGCAGCTCCCCCCGTCCCAGCAGCATCCCAGTCCGTGTCCACAAGAAGCTCCCAGTCCCCACGGCAGCCGAA